GTTAATTGTTAGTAGTAGTGATGTTATATTGAACTCAGCTTGCATCTATAGCTATGCCATTTCTTCTCAATTTCTATTTTATATCTAATTTCTCCCATTTTTTCTCTCCCTTTTTGTCTTCTATCACTGTCTTTTTTTCATGCATGCTGTTAATAATGTAATGGACATATGTACATGCATGTTGTGTCCTGGACCTGGAGAGTTTACTTTGCATTATCACATTCCCCTATCTATTAATGTAGTTATTTAGTAACTACTAGCAAGCAAAGCTGAAAATCTTGTTAGCTACTGTACACTGTATTGTATTGGGAATTTAATTGCCATAGCTACTAATTTCATGAATAATATTATTTTTTATCAAGTATATTAGTGTATACATATGACTCACAAAGCACTTGTTTTGAAATGGCATCTGCAGAGCATTCAAATATTTGCCAACAACTAAAGGGTATGTTGTTTTTTATTTCAGTACTGATAAGCAGTCAATTTTTTAGTTGGTGATCTAGTTAAAGTGCTTGATTTACTCAAATGTAATGACTATTCTGAGACCAATTATTTTAATCTTGGTCTGCGTCTTGGTCTATCAGTTAATACAATAAAAACCATTGAAGCTAATCACACAGATATTGGAAGGCGTCTCAGTGAGTGTCTTACTAAATGGTTAGAGAAAGCTGATGATGTACAGAAGACTAAAAGTGGTCCTACTGTCTATTCGTTGGTATCAGTATTGAGGGAAACAGAACAACATGCTGCAGCAGAAGGAATTGAAAGTATAAAATCTTTAAATATGGGTTCTATTTATGTTATTTATTAGAACAATATGCTGTAGCTGATGGAACTGAAAGTATGTTTAATAAAATTAGCATCATTTTTATGCTTTCTTTTTAGAGAACCCTGCTTGTAAAATTTTTGCTGGCTTTACTTCAAATCAATCTCTGTTGACTGCTTTACCTAAGATGGTTTTGTTGTTACAATCAGAAAAGCTAATAGAAGAAATAATGTGCATTAAAAAGGAAGAGAAAATTCTTTTAAATGAAATTTCAAAAGCTGTTTACATTGATTCTAAAAAGCTGGAGGTGTTTGCTACAATATTGCTTCAGTATTCAGCCACAATAGAAATAGGAAGCACTATCATGAGAGAATTTAGTAAATTATACGGCATTGATAATTTTATTTAATTAACCGATAGGAAAAGTTTTCTACTGTGATGAAAGTTGTACTGATCTTGGTAAGAGTGTCTAATAATTTTTAATTACTTTCATTCAAATAGCAAAAAAAGATGCACTCTCAAGCTCAGCCTCAAAATTTAAATCAATGCACATGAAGTTTTGTTCCACATTCAATAAAGTTGAATTAATCATAAAGGAATATCCTTCTTTGACACAAGACAAAATCAAGACTACATTGTTAAATTACAGTGAAGATTTGATGCCTCAGTTAGCTCAGTGCCAAAATATTCAAGCCATTTTGGAATTGGTTAGAAAATATTGTTCACTAAATGACATAGAAATGCTGAAGTTTTTTGTCATGGAGCTGAATATAGATGAAGCTAAGGTAGTTATTCAGGAATACAGTGATGTTATAGAGGAGTTTAGCAAAACTGAACTTAGTAAATGTCTGAATGAAAAGTTTTCTGATGCTACACCACTTCAATGTGAAAGGATTGCCATTGTCTTTGATCAAAAAACCGATGCTTGCACACTGGATAATGTCAGGATATTATCAGCTAATATATTTCACAAATTGTCATCACCACAAAATAGCAGAACCATCAAGTTATTTCTCATTAGTGATAGCAACAATTTCTTTACTATCACTTGTTCCTTCCCTTTGATTCTATCTGAGCAGTTAATTACAGCTGCTCTTAATAATATTGATGTATTGAAAGAAAACAAAGTGAAGAGATTAACCATTGGATACTGCACTGTGTATGAGGTAATATAGACTAGGCTATATATTTTATTGTTAATTTTGATTAAAACAGGCAACAGAAACAGTTGACACCCCTACTCTATCCTGTAATCCTAATAGTCTATTTTAATGTGATTTATATTATATTTATATAGATGAAAAGCAATTGCTATCACCTAGTAGTGGTTTATCAAAGCAATTGATGCTGTCATTGAGTATACAACTGATTAATTGTAAAGACGAGGTTGGTACTTTAAATGAAGATATATGAAGTGCAAGTTTATGCCATCTTTCTATTGCAGGAATTAAAAAATAAAATGCATGGTGTCGAAACAATGAAAAATGAAATTTCAAGGCAAAAGTCAGGTATGAAACATTACAAAAATATCTGATTGTTGTTATTAGATGAAACTGGGCAATTACTGCACCAAAAAGTAACAGAAAAAGAAACAGTTAGTTTAACTGCTTACATAATTTATTTCTAATTTTTATGTCACAGGATGATGAATCAAACCAAGCAAAAAATTTACTAATAACTGAATCCAGTCAATCCACACAAGAAGCTTTTGGTACTAGTTTTGAACCAACAGTAACTAAAGTGCATTTGGAACATAATAACGGTATGTACTAATATTGATGAATATAAAAGCAAGTCATTTTAACAATAACAGAGCAGCCACAGAAGACATCGGAATTATATCAAGAGAAAACATCACCAAAAGATGAAAAAATGAAAACAAAACTTCAAGGTTTGCTGGTTATTTTAATTACTGTTGGTTAATTTAATTGTAGAAATGGAAAAAAAATTGGTTGAAAAAGAAAATGAAACCAAAAAATTGCAGAAAGAGGTGTCATTATTGAGTTTGAAAGTGCAATCATTGAGTTCGAAAGTGCAGAAAAGTGACACTGAAAGACTAGTAAGTCAATTTTAACATTAAACTATGGTCTAGCTATTAAATTACCATATAGCTGGTTTATTTTGTGTGGAATTAATTTTGTGCAGGCTTGAATCCACTAAAACTAAATTTCATTAACATAATTATTAACAAAATTTTTTTAAATCACAAAATTAATTTTAAAAAATTAAACAATGAAAATTTGAGGCCACGAAATAAACCAGCTAATTCTATCGTGATGCTATGTATTACATTCATAAAATGTTAGGAATTTGAAGATAAAATTTATGGCTTCATTGAAATACACCATCCTTTATTGATAAAAATTGTGAGAACAGAACAGTATACAAGACTAAAGAATATTAAAAAATTGGGTAAACTTTATTTGAATAATTTAGATCTATTACATTTATGCAGGCTATATTTATCATAATATGTCAAAAGCAACATGTTCAAGATATGATCAAAGTATTGGGTAAGAAAGCAACCTGTTGAAAGTAAATTATTCCATAGTTCAGAATGTATTATTTTGCTGGAAAATTTGTGAAGACACTCAAGAAAAGACAACCTGAGCTGAATATTACTGATTCTGATGTTTTGTGTGTACAAATTGCTGCTCTTTGCTATAATTTGGGTCATGGCCCTTTCTCTCATATTTTTGAGGATTTTTTGAAGGATTCCGAAATCAGAGCTTCTAGATCTTATTGGAAAGTACTTCATCAATTTATTGTCTTCACTTATTTCAACAAAGTGTAGGGCTTACCTGCTAATGTTATGATGTTTGAACATATGATTGATGTTAACAACTTGCCATTTGATGAATATTTGAATGAACAAGATATCAAATTCATCAAAGAATTAATGACAGGAATAAATGGACCACAAGCTGTATGTCGCTATTTTTATTTTGTAAAAATTATTAATCTATTTAGGCACTACGTGAAGATAAGGTGTTCCTTTATGAGGTATGTAATTAATGATTATAATTTATTTCATTTATTAATTGTTATTTACAGATAGTGGTAAACAGAATGAGTGGTTTAGATGTAAACAGAATGGATTATACTATGAGAGATGCAGGTGTCTTGGGAAAGAGGATTTATTTCAAGTGGAGGTTAATTTAATTTTTTACAGGTGTAGTATTTAAGTTTTTAGAAAGTTTCTAAATAGAATATGTGTTAAAGTGTGTCCTGATGGAAAGAAACATATTTGTGCTAATGAAGATGTGAGTTCCACATCATTCATTACTGAGCAATAATGAATGTGATAGGATTTGGATACTTACAATGGATTTTTTGGTGATCGCCATACCCTTTTCAGAGAATTATACTTTGAACGCAAGAACAGAATTGTTGCTACAATGTATGATGACAATAGCATTAATGTTATTACTTAATACAATTGTTTCAATAGGGTCAACCGAATTTTGAAAAAATGTGGTGAAGCTAAATTTATCAGAGGGCCTGATGGGTAATGTATAATTATTAAATTAGGCAAATACTATTATTTTAATAAAAATAGTAAAAGGTTGTCACTTATTGATGCAATTAAAAAAATGGATACTTACAGTCGTCTTAACGATGGAATCCTGGATGTAATAAATGAAACAGTTGATGATTCAGAGGTATTAATACATGTGAAATAAACATTGTAGTTTGTGCTCACCATTAAATTAAATTTTAGTCAACCACACCAACAGCATTAATTCTGCAGTTTTAAATTTTGATTGTTGTATACATGATAATTGCCTGACTTATTGTATCATATAGGTAGAAAAATTGATAAAATTTCTGAGAAGTTCAAAGCTGTTCATACCAATTGGCTATGTTAAAAATTGTCAATTAGAGAGAGGTTCACAACAATTGGTACACAAATACATGTATAAGCTAAATACATAAGTTTTTATAGAAAGAAGAAATTGCAGAAAAGGTAGAAGGACTTGAAAAAGATGACATAATTGTTGATGTATGAATAATAAAATTTGATGCAATGTAATCAATGTGCATTAATAGACTGAAAAATCTGGTTACGAAGAAGCTAAAGATCAATTTATGTATTATGTGAGTTCTAATGGAACTGTACAAAAATGGATTATAGAATGGGTTAGTAAATAATCTACCATTCACCAAAATGATTTCTTGCAGCAATCTCCACCAGCTGGCACTTTCCCTGCTCGATGGGGTGTATTTTATACAAAACATGACAAAGAAATGGTTGCTAAAATAAAGAAGTTCGTTACACTGTTAAATGAAGCTTTTTATAATTAAATTCACATTTATGTAGTGGAATACAAAAGGTGGTTCAAGAGAATGGTGGAAATGTTGTAAGTCATACACATGAACACACACATAAATTAAATCTGTTACATCAATAGGATATATTTAAAAATGAAACTGATGTTGATCTTATTCCAGTAGAGGACCCAGGCTCTAGTGACTAAAAATTACTATGCTAATCAGAGTTTAGTTTATTAATAGTAAATTAATGAAAAGTAAACCATAAAATTAGTTTAGTTTAGCTTACAATGGTAAGCTACGTAGTATTCATTATCTCTGGAGTAACTAATCAATACATTTTACAAATAGAGGGAGTACAGATAAGAGAGAGGAGGGCAGAGGGGAGGAGGAAGGGAGAGAAAGGAGAGGGAATGAGAGAAAGTGAAAAAGAAGGAAAGAGAGGATATGTCACTCATAGTATTCTTACTAATACTATATTACTTACAAGATCAGTAAATGATTCATCCATTGTGTCTAACTGATCAACATTTTTACTAATAATAATATGTACCACAATAATATCATAATATGTCACTAGTCTCTCTCTATACAGTATATCTATAAGTACCTCAATGGTGTGAATGGTCTTCTATTGCAACGATTTGATATAGTTCTCTTCACTTTCCTTCTCATTCCTTTAATACTATCACTAATAATTAATAATCAAGAAATAATAGATTGATGTAATACATGTACACAAACACTTTCTTTTTCTCCCTCCCTCCCTCCCTCCCTCCCTCCCTCCCTCTCTCTCCCTCTCTCCCTCTCTCTCTCTTACGTGAATGCTCTTTTAATGGTTCCAGTATCAATGGGTCCAATGCTACCTCCAGTCTTTGGCATTGAGTGTAATATATCTGATGAGGTCTTCCATACAAACATATCCTGTAAACAACAACAAACAAAAATAATTAAAAATATAAAATATTGATAGTCAATGCCTTATGATACATACATATGTACATGTATAAATAAAATTTGAGTTGATTGAGCAGTTTTTGAGTTATGAGCATTATAGGAATAGATTACTGTATAGCTGAAAATTGGGGGGGGGGGTAAAATTTTGGAAGACGACTAAAGTTTTTATGATTTGCAAATTTTAATTTGGCAAATTTGTGTCCATGTGCCATTGAGCATGTACAATGTACATACATGTAATGGCTCAAAATGGCTGGTTTTAATTTTGGTGAATGGCTATCAAAATGCCAAATTTTCCAAAAAACCCCTGTACTATAGCCCGTGCTTTAATCTTAATAATGTCCCTACACTCACTGGAGATGGGGCACAGTTACTGTTACACATCATTTGAGATATTTTATTAATTAGTTCTGTTTTAATTGATGAGTCTCCGTTAATTTTAAAAGTTAATAATCTCTCCTGAGGATCATCAGACCAATGGACTAACAGACCAAAACTATTAACAACATCTAATAAAATAAATAAATAAATAAATGTACCTTCACTGAAATCAATTACTGATCTAATATTAGAATATGTGAGGAACTCCAAGTGTCTAAAAATAGTAACAAGAACAACAGTAATACATGTACATGTACGTACATTACATGTATATGTATATGTACATGCATGTATACTAAAAATACATGTACATGTACCTGTATGGTTTGTATGAGTCCTTCATAGCAACAAAAACCATGAGCACTTCTTATCTTAGCAATCTGTAGGAGAGAGGGAGGGAGGGACACTAATTAATAAAACCATCCAATAGTACAGGGTATTTTTTAGAATTTTAACATTTTCTTAAAATGGCCATAACTCGAAAAATTGAAGTCGGAATTAGCTGAAACTTTCTACACAGCATAAGGACATCAATATGTATCAGAAAATGTAATAAAAATTGGGGGTTATTTCGGAGTTATTTTTCAGAAAAAAGCATGGGCTATAGCCTTGGGTATTTTTCAGAATTTTGGCATTTTCTTAAAATGGCTGTAACTTGAAAAATTGAAATCGGAATCAGCTCAAACTTGCTACACAGCATAAGGACATCAATATGTATAAGAAAGTGTAATAAAAATTTGGGGTAATTTCGGAGCCATTTTTTGAAAAAACCATGGGCTATAGTACAGGTGAAATTAGCATATAAAAATGAGACACTTCCTCTATCTCACCTCAATGCTGTCAGAGAAGAGGAACAATGCTATAGACAATGGTTTATTAGTCTTTCCATTATTGCTAATATTTAACTCCAACACATCATGTCTTGAAATAAACCAACGATGAGATGAAAGGACAGTCGCCTAAAATGGGAGGGGTAAGTTATTAAAGACCACACCTACTAATTACCGGGACGTCCTCAATGTCACGTATAAGTTCAAACATGTGCATCTGCTTCTCTGTCTTCCTCTTGTCTTCATTTATGTGTCTAGAAGAATTAATAATAATAAATAAATAAAATACATGTACATGTAGTGATGTATAACTCACTCCATTACATTCTTAAGTTTTTCAACTGATTCCTCCAACTGCTTGTAATCAATGTGGCCAGTATCAGTACGCTTTAATAAATCTATAATAATAATAATAAATAATAAATAATAAACATGCATGTAGATGGACTGTACAGTGATCATTGTAATTGTTGAGAGATGAAATTTTGATGTATTGCTTCATTTTCGGTGATTGGCAGGTTTTAATATATATTCACATGTCCCATTGAACATGTACATGTACATATATAGTTCAAAATGATGGGCTTTAAATGGAAAAAGGCTATCAAAATGAGAGAACTATCTTACCCAACATCAGCTAAATTACAATGTACAGTACATGTAAATACTAGTATTTATATAATATACATGTACCTTGTAGTAATAATATGATCCTTGGTATTCTTTGTACTGGTGTTATCAGTAGTTCTGATAGTGTCTGGCGGCCACACTCTGGTTTGGACTCATTACACTTAAGGAAAGCATGAAACCTTGGGAACTGACGATCACAGGAACTGAGAGCCTCCTTAGTGACTTCAAAATAATTTATATATGGAGGATACACACGTAATAGCTCTTCAGACTATAGGGGGGAGAGTCATTGAGTTATAAATAAAAATATATTTACAATTTCAGAATATAATACTAAAGGCTATAGCTCATGGTTTTTTCCAAAAATGGCTCCGGAATCAACCTACATTTTTATTACATTTTCTGATACATATTAATGTACTTATGCTGTGTAGAAAGCTTGAGCTGATTCCGACCAAAAATTTTTGAGTTATGGCTACTTTTACAAATCAGCAAATTTCTATAAAATACCACTATTATGCCATAATCCATATAAGTGGAACTATTCTCTCTCTCTCTCTCTCTCCTTACTCCTCATACAACAACAATAACAATAACAGATACTGTACTGGTACAAATATTTGTGGTGTTAAATTTTTATGATTTTTGGAAAAATATTAATTTCATAGTGTTTTAATTTCACGTTTTCTTTTTAAAGTACTATAAGGTGTGGTCATACGAAGAATTTCATTGGATTAAAACTTCACACAACAAAATAATGAAAATTAATCCCACGTGATATTTTGTACCTATACAGTAGTATAAATAAATAATAATTATAGACTAACTTCTTAGAGTCAGGATCCAGTGAGCTGGTAATTCTCATCAGTCATAACTTGTATCAATGATTGTATCACTGATCCATCAGTTACTGCAGTACTACTGATAAATATATAGACACTAATAGTACATAAAATAGAATTATCAGTTTACAAAAGATGAGACTGCCTCAGATTTCACTCAGTTCCAACAAATAGTAAAAATAACTTTGCTTTTTAGCCCCTCCAGGGCCCCCCTACTTTTAATTAGTTCAGATCACGTGGGCGTTGTTTTGATGAGCCACACCCATGCTTCTTTGCAATCATGGGTACTATACTGTCTTCTCCTACTCAAGCAGAGCCTCCAAATCAATTGAAAAGTATTTAATCATTCATTTAATGTAAACCTAACTATTTAATAGTTACTGATCTTGCTGAAGTACTTGATTTACTCAGCAGACATGGTTACTCTGGAATCAGCTTTTATAATCTTGGTCTTTATCTTGGTCTATCCCCTGCTACACTGGATGTTATTACAAGGAATAGCAGAGATGACGTTTTAGTGTGTCTGCGTGAGTGTCTTAAAGCGTGGCTAAAAAAATCTGATGATGTAGTGAAGAAAGGTGGTCCAACAGTCTTTTCATTGGTATCAGCATTGAGAAAGCTAGAAGAGAATGTAGCAGCTGAAGGAATATTGGTCATGGAAAGTATGTTTAATATAAATGAGCATCGTTACTTAATTTATTTTTAGAGCATCCTGCTTGTAAAATTCTTGCTCATACCTCAAACCAATCTCTTGTGTCTGCATTACCTCAGATGGCTCCATTGTTGCATTCAGAGATGCATATAAATGAGACTGTGTGTGTTAAAAAGGAAGAGAATATGCTTTTGATTGAAATTGTGAAAGCTGTTTGCATTGATTCTAATAAGCTGAAGGTGTTTGCTGGAATATTACAGCAGTATTCAGCCACAATACAGATAGGAAACACTATCATGAGAGAATTCAGTAAAATTAGTTCCAGCATAATATCACTAATTTTATTTTCTTATAGGAAAAGTTTATTATTGTAGTGAAAGCAAACCAGATGACAATGGTAAGTAGATAAAGTCCATCATATTAACTCTTATTCAAACCATAAACAGCTAAACAAGATGAAATTTATCTTCCACCATTCATAACCTCAAAGTTTAAATCGATGCGAGTGAAGCTTTCTTTCACATTTGATAAAGCTGAATTGATCATAGAAGCATGTCCTCCTTCAACACTTGACAAAATAAAAAATGCATTGAGGTATTACAGTGAAGATTTAAAGCCTCAAGTAGCTCAGTGCCAAAGCATTCATGACATTTTAGATTTGGTTAGAAGAAATTGTTCACTAGATGACATAGAAATGCTGAAGGCTATTGTTAATGAGCTCAATATAGATGAGGCTAAGGTAGTCGTTCAGGAATATAGTGAGGCTATAGAAGAGTTTAGTAAAACTGAACTTAGTAAATGCCTGAATGAAAAGTTTTCATATGCTTCCCCACTTCAATGTGAAAGGATTACCATTGTCGTTGATCAAAATACCGACGACTGTACGTTGAATGATGTCAGGAGATTATCAGCTAATACCTTTCACAAATTATCACCACAAAATAGCAGACACATCAAGTTGAATGTCATTAGAGATGGTGATTCCTTTACAATCACTTGTTCCTTCCCTTTGATTTTATCTGAGCAGTTAATTACAGCTGCTCTTAATAATATTGATGTATTGAAAGAAAACAAAGTGAAGAGATTAACCATTGGATACTGCACTGTGTATGAGGTAAATAGACTATTTTATGAACTGATATTAATAACAGGTAAAGGACACCTCCAGTCCTGCTACAACAGAAATAGATGAATGCACCTCATCATTATCAACTAGTAGTGGTTTAATGAAACAATTGATGCTGTCATTGAGTGTACAACTGATTAATAGTACAGAGGAGGTTACTACTTTAAATGAGGTATGAATACATAATAAGCTCTTCTTATATATTCACATGAAGTAGCATGAATGAACAAACCATGATTTGCATCAATTCTTAATTTATTAATTTATAGGAAAGTATGACAATGAAGAAAGAAGCAGAGTCATTGAAGGAAACACAAGACACTAAACATAAGATGCTGACTGCCAGTATAGCAGAGAGTGAGAGGTTTAAAAAAATAGCAGGTATAATAAATAACTTTTGTAATAGTTTATTTGATTTTAATTAGCTGATACTAGTCAGTTACTAAAAGAAAAAATATCACTACTAACAGAACGTGAAGAAGTTAGCAAGAAATTTGGACTATTTTATTACTGATTATAATGGTAATAGGAGAATGAGAATTTGAAAGAAATAAAAGAAATTTTAGAAGAGCAGCTTGCTTTATTTCAATCAGAGAAAGACGGTATGCACATGCAAGTTTACATATAAAATAATAACATTATACTAAATTCAATTCACAAAGAAATCAAACAGTCAGAAAGTGGGTCAATTGTAGATCTAGGCACAATTGAAAAGCATGATAGAGCATCTCATCAGGAAGAGAATGAGGGTATGTATAATGGTATAATAGAGATAGTGACTCATTCATTAATAAAAATGAATGTTACAGTTAACTCAAAAAGTTAATAAAAGTTTCAATAATTCTGCTTTTATGTAAGATAATATTTATATTTTAGCAATACAATGGAGAATGGCATTTGAAATTGAAAGTTTAAAAGGAGAATTAAAACAAAAAAATGATAAAATCGATGAAGTACAAGGTCAGTCCATTGACTAGTTAAATTGATTAGGAATTATGATTAAACTTTATTATAGCTGAGAGTAAAAAAGAAATAGAATTATTGCAAGAAAAAATAACAATGAACTTACAACAAATTGAGAAAGAAAAAGCAATGCAAGGTAACTCTATAAAACTATAATATATCGTTTAATGTCATGATCACAGCTAACAGTAAACAAGAAATAGCTTCATTAAAAGAGGAAATAAAAGCACTGAATGAACAACTAATGAAAAATAAAAAACTGCAAGGTATATAAGTATCTAAAAATTTTATAAAAATACTAAAACTATGGAAAAGTACTGGGCATGCAATTTTATTTGTAACATTAACTTTAAAATTTTATTATAGCTTCTCCACAAGAGAAAAATCCACTTGTAAGCAAGTTATACTCATGTAAACTTGACATTATTCTCAATGATACAGATATTTCAAGATGACATTTATGGTGGCATAACTATTGACCATCCATTGATTAGAGAAATTGTACAAACACATCAATTTCAAAGACTGAAAGATATCAAAAAATTAGGTATTAGCTAATCATACATTAGAAATGAAATAAATCTTATGTTTATACAATAGGTTACACATACCAAAATATACCAAAAGCAAATTATTCAAGGATGGAACACAGTATTGGGTAAAAATTAAGAAATACCGAAATACCATTTTAGCTTGTATGTAACTTGATATTTCAGAATGTATTATCTTGCTGGAGAGTATGTTAAGCAACTTCAAAGGAGACAACCTGAGCTGAATATTACTGAGTCTGATGTTTTGTGTGTACAAATTGCTGCTCTTTGTTATAACCTGGGTCATGGGCCTTTCTCTCACACTTTTGATATGTTCTTAGATGCAATACATGAAAAAAATAAATCCGGCAAGCCTTGGAAGGTAAAGTATTATTAATCATTAGCTAAATTTATAATTTTAATAGAATGTTTCAGAAGCATCAGTTAAGATGTTTCACTATATGTTAGAAGATAATGAAGGTTTAATGGCTTCTTTTGAAAAACATTTTGATAATCCCAAAGAAGATATTGCATTCATTAAAGAGCTTATCCAAGGAACAGGATATGTAAGTTACTTATTTCAGTTTGCTTGAAAAATTTAAGGGTTGCACCACAAGAGGCACTGCAGGTATTCAGTATTAAAAATCACCAGAAATCATGATTATAAGCTGCTATAGCAGCATAACCTAACAAGCTGAGTATACAAAGCATAATACTTTCACATATAGTTTAAACTATCACCTCGGCATATTACTATTATAATAATTATATTTGTAGGAACAGCGTAAAGATAAAAAATTCCTACATAAGGTATGATGCAATTCAAATGTACAACCATAATTCAATGATACATCAGATTGTATATAATAAAAAGAGTGGGTTAGATGTGTGTATGATCGAAAGTACAGTGAGAGATGCTGCTGTATTGGGAATGAATGTCACTTTTCGATGGAAGTAAGATTATTGTAATTTAAATTAATTTCCCATGTATAAAAATACATGTACCTGGTATTTGGCAAATTTTTTGTGATGTGTCTGTCACTAACATGAGCACATTCAAAATGGCTATCAAACTGAAGCAAAATTATCTATTCTAATTATTTACAATTACAGGACATTTTTAAACCAAGTTCATGTCTTGAGGTGTGATGATGGTGAATCACATAAGTGTTTTTCAAAAGATGTCAGTACAATAATGAATAATTATAAATTATAAGAAACATAATATTTTTAGGATTTAGAGATATGCAATGATTTATTTAGAACTCGTCATAGTCTTCACAGGGACTTGTATTATGCACGCAAGAGCAGGATGGCTGCTATAATGTAAGCATCTGAATTGTATCTCATTACACTTCAATATTAACTAAATATTATCAGGATAAGAAGAATATTAGTCAAGTCAAATGAAATCCCAATAATCAAAGATAAATCCAGGTATGGGTTTTACTAAATTGTTATGCATCAGCTAGGGTACACTGTAGACGAGTGACTATATCTCAAGCTACAAAGAGCATGTCAGGTTATACTGAACTCACTGATAGTGCTCTTAATAATATCAAACTATTAGTTGATGATCCTGAAGTCAGTAACAACTATAAATTATCTTAAGTGATTTTGTACAGGTACAAGTATTGTTGAAGTGTTTGAACACCATGAAAGTTATTGGACAGATTGGTTATGTTACACCAACAGATGAATGGAATGAAGATAAAATAGTAAAATGATTTAATAAGAGATAATTACGTTTGATAATTGTATTTCTAGACACAGCACATTGTACAAAGCATTAGAAGTTGTGATATTAGTAATGAACTGATAATTGATGTAAGACAATACTTTATACTATAATACTTATACATAATTATAATTACAATTATACATGTAGCCTACAAAACATGGATATGAGAATTGGAATGCTCTCACCCAATACTATTACACTAGTGATGGAAGAACAGGACAATGGACTCATGAATGGGTCAGTTAAAAGTATCACTAAAATGACCAAATATACATTAATACTATAGGCACAACCACCACCATCTGCTGCTAAACAACTACGTATATTTCTTGTAAGTGGTGACAAAGACCTTATAAAGGAAGTACAAGGGTAAGTTATGATTTATTAATTACTTGTATTGTAATAACCAATTTTAATAGAGTACTACGAGAATTAATAAGAGATGAACAACTTATTCCAGGGGTATGAGTAACAATATTAATAGAAATATATAATAAAGTACACATTTCAGGATATCTATCCTGATGAAGAGAATTACAATTTGATGCCACAAGTCCCACCACTTAAAAAAGAAGAAGCAACAGAACTCAAAGAAGAAGTAGCAAGTGCATTAGCAACAGTTTAAAAATTTAGATCTACATATGATTAATAGTCTACACTGTAGTTATTGTAGTTAATGTATATGTACATGTAATGCTAAAGCTGACAGTAGTAGTTTGTACTATCATTATTATTGCTTTGTTTGGCATTAAAAACTAGTACAAGTAGCATTTGATATACTGACAAATTGTAATTGATGTCATTGTGATCTACCGTGCTTAGTAGTAATTGAACTAATGCTGTACATGTACATGTATACTACCTCAAGTAAGTATAAATTAAAACTTGACCCTTGGAGACAAAATGAGGCATTAGTTACGATGAAGAAAAAGATTTGTGAAGATCATACAGAAAGAAAAGACGCTGAGAGCAAAGGAATTGAATACTAGTACATCCAGTTACTGTAGTGTTAAATTGTTAACTTATTAATTGTAAAGCAATAGAGAGAAGACAAGATTACAATAATAACGTCACATCTCATTAGAAACAGAGAGAGAATTAAAAATATAATAATAATAATAATTAATGTGCACATGCAGTATCAGAGTGTACCAGTGGATCCTAATTTAGTGAGATCCATTGAACTAAATGAATGTCCATATCCTAATGCTTGTCTTTTAGTGGGAGGACCTCTCATTGGAGTAGGAGGAAAAGGAGCAGCTACTGATAGCGTAGAAGTATTGAGAGTAGAATCCTATGAGAGGAGAGAGAGGGAGGGAAGGTATGTCACTCATAGTATTCTTACTAATACTATATTACTTACAAGATCAGTAAATGATTCATCCATTGTGTCTAACTGATCAACATTTTTACTAATAATATAAAT